TTGTCATACCATGCCATGGCACGATTTGCTTAACTACAGTTTACCATATAAATTACCAAGTTCACACAATACACCAATCCCAAATGGAACAAACCATATTATGGTTTAACCATAAAATGCCCGTACTGTGCAAACCCAGTCCATGTGGCTACTTCATGATTCTGTGTGTGGTGGGAACCCAAAACATCTGGTTGTGTAAACCACAGTAATGTTAACAGTGGGTAAGCATATTGCGCAAACCTCAGTCTAGCCTACTAGGGGAAGCATGTAATATAAACTTAGCTTCCATGCAACGGTTCAACTGGGGAAGTATTAAGCAAGACAAACCATTGTAATCATCCATCTAGGATTCTGCATGGAAGGAGAACGTGCATAAAACAGACCTTGGATTCCTGTCCTAAATCTTAACCCTAATCCCAGCCTTCCCCAATCTAGCTAAAACCAAGTAAGTCACATTATGGGTTATTGTAATGCATCAACCCTGTCCCCTGGTCACGAGTGGGATTCAGACCTGAATAAAGAAAGGAAACGGCCTATCCAGAAGATTAAAAGAGAAGGACATCTGAATATCCTGTCCCCAATGGAGCTCCATTTGCAACGATGGATGTACAGTGCTTGGGCCTTTTCAACAGTAGCCGTCCTCTCCTCTGGAACAACCTGCCCCCCTACCAACAGACTACCATTTTCCTGGGGTATGCTCTGTCTGGGGTAGTGTTTGGGGGATGTCAAATTTGGGCCCACCCCAGCAGAGGGCACTATTATTGCACAATGCTATTTGGGTTTTGGTCCGTTTACATCGTACGCCACTCAGAACCAGCTGGAACGCAGCAGTGTGGATATAATAACCACTAAAAATGACGTTTCCTTGGCAGAAAATTAGGAGTCCGGGAAATTTACCTCCTTTCTACAAGCCACTGAACCCAGCTTGTCGGCACACTAGGATATAACTTGATCCAGTCTCGGGATTATAGATAAGAGCAAGAGTCAGCCAAGAGCCCAGCTCCAACACGTACTGAATCACATTTTGCAACATAAAATAAACTCTCCAGCCCTCATAGCTGCAGAGAGGAGAGGAAAGCCCGGGCCCACTTGCCCTCCTCCAAAGCTCTCCAGTTTTATTTGCTGATAGTCTCTGCTTCAGAGGAAGAACTGCCTCGTGGAACAGATGGTTATCTTGGCTATCGGTCACCCGTTTTGCAGAAGGGAGCCAAGATGGCAGAGTTTGGAAAGTCACATGGTTCACTAGCCCCAATTGCCTACATGCCTGTACATTCAGCAGAATTCACCCTCTCCTCCAAGGTGGATCAAAGTCACCTTCGCCCCATTCCAGATGGATCAATTGCACATTAGCCAAGTGGACAAGCCATGAGTTGCTAGAGAGGTCCACCCTTGGATTTCTCTGCCAGCTTCTTGACCCCACGGGCTGACCTATCACAAAATCATAGGAGGCAGGGGGTTTCTTCTCCTAACTACTACTAACCCAGCACTACAGTGTCTCCAGCTGTGATTGGCCAGCTGCTCTGACACCCCAGAGCTGAGCAAACCTTGCATAGGAGCAAGGATGAAGATTAAAGCCCATGAATATGTTTCTGCTCCAGCTAGGGAGATGGTTTTGCTGCCTTTGGCCCCCCCCAGACAAAAGGCAAGATATAAATGTAATAAACCACAACACCCACACTGTGTGATACAGGCTTGCAACCACTTCTGATCGAAATTATTTCCAAAGATATTTATTTAATCATCTAATACACCTGCCTATCTCACTGAGATGACCCTAGGCCTGTGTTCCTCAACCTTGGCAACTTGAAGACGTGTGGACTTCAGCTCAGAGTTGCCAAGGTTGAGAAACACTGCCTAGGCCATGCATTAAGGTTAAAACTGTAACATAAATCATAAAATCAATATTCCAAAAACTCAAACTTGTTTGCCAGAGAATGGACACTGGCATGGTGTAGGGGATTAATGAATGTCTCAGAGCGGAGGTCCAGATTCAAATCCTTACTTGGCCAAACAATTCACCTTGGGTCCAACAACTAAGCCTGACGTGTCCCACAGGATTGTTGTGAAGCTACAACAGGACAGAGATATGAAGCTTTGACCAACCTGAAGGAAAAAAGTTTCAGAAAGGCATTCAACACAACCTACTGCTTTGAAAATACTGGAGCACTTTGAAGAATGCTGTGCCTATACAACCTAGTAGCTAAACGCAGTTGATGCTTTGAGAAACAAATATCCAAATCCTGAAACAACTCTGCGCTTCCTGATTACCAGTCTTAAATACATCCATCTTTTGTCCTCAGCCTGTAAAATGGAATAATTCACAGCACAAAATGATTAAAAAAAACCAATGCTCTACTTGTAACAAAGTTTGCCTACTAACTTTACGTGTGCTGACCTCAATTCTTCTCCCACAATCTGTAAAATGGGAATAGCAGTCACCTACATTAAAAGTGCAGTGGGGGGTGAATTACAGAGCAGGAAAACTTTGAATATTCACTGTGTAAGAGCAATGTCTTTCAGGGGCCCTGTATCTCAGCTGTTTGGAATAGTGGTTAGAGTGGATTTGACTCTGACCAACTCAATTCTGAAATGCAGCTGATTCCCTTGTGCCAGTAACTATCTTTCATCCAAGCCTACTCAGCAGGGTTGATGTGAAGGGTGTACCATGAACATAATAAAGAGCTGAGGAGGAGGAATAAACATGTTGCATTCTTAAACACACATGCTAAAGTGAGCACAGAAGCTCAGTTCACACATGACACTAAATCACAATATGGTTTATTTTGGTATAATACATTATATGAACCTAGCTGCTGTGGTTTGGGGCTTAACATGATGCACGAACCAGCCCAGATGCCTCAACAAACCATGGGTTAGCAGAACATGTAAACTCAGTAAGAGAATCAACACCAACAATCTCCTTCTCCAATGACATTATTCTTCACACAGCCTGGGGAACCAAATAATCACCACCGAGACGTGCCTGCAAGGAGATTAAAGTGTGCACATTGAAGACACCTGGACGTTGGGGAGGCATTCGGAAACACGATTAGTTAGCACAGTCCTTCAAACACACCCGGAAGTGCCTTAAAGGAACCTTGCCCTCTGCACACACCGAGACCTGGCACATGGTTAGGACTTGGCTTAATCAAAACCACCAAATGCAACTGTACTTTGCTAAGAGTTCATTTAATGGGCGGGGAGGAAGGGAGGTTACCAAAGCAGCATAACTTGCTTGGCCAAACCAGGGCTTCCCTTCCCTTCCCCTAAACGCCTTCACGTCATCGTGCCCTTGCGAGATGAAACAGGCACATGGCAAAACTGAAGGGAAGCCCCGCTTTCGAGCAAGGCAGAAGGAAATGGCCTTTCTCAGCCCCAGCCTTGCTGGAGAGAAAGAAAGAGAGCACCCAGCGGGCGCAGAGGGTGACCTCTACCCACCATGGAGTCCTACGAGCACGGTCCTTTGGGGAGCAAGAGCGAACTAGGCCTTGCCAGAGGACCGAGGACCCGCCTCTTCTAGCCGAGGCTGGGCACCAGATCTTTCTGAAAGGCGAGGTCGTGTTTGACCTTGTTCCAAGGAAGTTTTGCTTTCTCACTGCAGAGGTTGCCTGTGGCTTTAAGATGAGGGCAAAAGGCATTTTAACTGTGTGCACCCACCACCACTTGCTGAAAAAGGACCCCGACTGGGGTTTGCAGGGACATCAATCAAAGCGCACACTCCCCAAAGCCACACATTTCAGACACGAACAGCAGCTTGCAAGCATCTTGGTATCTTAATTCTGACCCATGCTTGATAACTGAAAGAGCAAACCAGGGTGTGGCCTTTACTCCAGAGAAATGAGCACACCTCTCATGCTCCCACTTCAAAACACAGCCATGCCAATTTGAGCTCCTTTGCAGAGGTGGGGGGGCTCCCAAGCCAAGATACTTTACATCCAGAAAGTTTTTCAAGTATTATTTCATCCCTACTATCCATCTCACATCAGGCTGAGTCCCCCAGCGCAACAGCTGTCTGCACCGTTCACCCAGATTCTGTGCATCCCTTGAGAGTTCTCTGCAATTCTGCATTACGTGGCCTTTCTCTTCCACATGCTGAGTAACACAACAACCCTGCAGGGTAACCAACATTAAGTTTATACCCTACATGGAAGGAGCAAGGAAGAGAAAAAGCCATTCCAACACAGGCTAAACAGCAAATTATACTCTTTCCTTGATTCATAACACATGTTCTTAAGCCTCCCTAATATGCCACAGCCTCCCCACACCAGATTTATTACAACTCTCAGAATTTGCAGCCTAACAACACATTTGGAAGCTGACCTGGTGGGACAGGCTACCATAGTAATTCTGAACAGGGAAATCTTGGGTCTCTCTGTGTTAAGGTGAAGGTCTTTTTCAAATGTCCTGGAAAGCGGGGCATTTCAACCCCAATGTCAACCCCAGTTCACAAGCCCCAACTCCTTTACAGCCTGACAGATTCAGATCTTGGTTTGCGTGTCTTCCAGAGTTAGAGGTAGGCCTTAACAGCCTCCAGCTCTCCTCACTGGCGAGGGGCTAGTCGGGGCACCTGCCTGGGGAGAATCCTGAAACTTGTACAGCGCCTGGCACCCCACCTGGGGTGCAGCTGCAGAGCACAAAAGCGGACGGCTCTGCAGAGGGCAGGTATTACCGCCGGAGAAAGTGGCAGGAAGAAACATGTTCGCAGGGAGACGCGCCGAAAACGCCATAAAAGTGCAGCAAGGCACGTGGAAAGCGGAGGAATCAAGGACGCGTAAATGACAGAGTTGCCGGGGGGGAGAGGAGGGCGCCGCTGCCACCCCGAGCCCTCGAGGCGCCTCGGAGCCTCACACAGGGGAGGGCGAAGCAGCCCCGCGGGAGGGGAGACCCTCCGTTGGGCAGGGCCGGGCTCTGGGTCCCGGGGAGAGCCGGGGAAAAGTCGCACGGGAGGTCAGATGCGGGCCGGGGGGGCGGTCATCGGACACGGGACGCTGCGTTCTTACCTGCCAATTACCGCAGAGCAACCATCGGAACGCGCAACAAGAAAGCACCGCTTCGGGAGGTGGGCTAGCGGAGAAGTTAGCAACCATATGCGCGGGAGGGAAGAAAGATTCCCCCTTTGGGAACAACAGACGGTGGTTTGTTTGATCCGCCGGAAGCGCCAACAACCATTGTCACCCTCACAACCGCTGCCCACGCCGGTTTACTCTCCAGAAAGCCCCTCCCTTGGAGACTTGGCGCATGAGGACTGGCACCTTAAGCCTCCAGTGAAATCCGCTACTCACGATGCGTCCGGTGGAGCCGGCTCTCCAGCTGGTGCTGCTGCTTCTGCTCGCCGTCCCACCCCCGGTGCCGGTGCCAAGCCCCCGCGCGCTACCTCCGTGCCGAGCCCCTCCACCCGCCGCGGGCTGCTCAATTGTCCCCCCACGTGCTGCCGGACCGGGCCTCTCGGAACGCTGAGACATTCGACCGATATACACAACGCTCCACTCGCCCCGCCCACCGCTCGCTGAGCGTTTTCCCTGGCCCCGCCCTCCTACCCCTTTCTCGGCCGCAGCTCGCGCGAGAAGGCTACAGAGGCCACGCCCCCTTCCCTCAGCCTGGCGGGGCGAGGCCGAAGAGGAGAGAAAGAGAGCGCGGAGGGGGAAAGCCTCCGTCGGCGCATGCGCAGTCGGACAAAGCCGTTCCCCCTTTTTGCAACGTCATAAAGGGAGGGCTCGCGGACCGGAGCCTTGTTTATAAACAGTCCATCCGGAGCAACTTTCTGCACGATCGACGTGTAAATAAATGCGTTTTAATGCACTTTTTTTTTTTGTTTGGCGTAGGCGTGCACGTGTGTAAGCGTGCAAGGAGATTCCAAGAGCAGTTGAGCTTGGATCTGAAAGGATGCATTCGCGTGCGAGAGGCTGCTGCTTCCCAGAAAAGACTTCCTTCGGCTTATGCTGTTAAAAAAAAAACCCTAAAAGTTTTGATTCCACTTTAGCGCTTGAGGCCTGAAGCAGCCGAGAGCGGCAGCGATTCTTGCAAACGTCGCACTGACCCTCGCGTCTTACTTTGCAAGGATCATCCGCACGTGGCGTTCGTTGCAGGGTTCTCTTAAAAGGAATGGGCCAGCCGTGGCTCCCAGGGGCTTTCGCGCGGTCCCTGGAGCATCTCCCCGCAACGTTGGAAGCCGGAAACTTCTGCAAGTCTAAAAAAAAAAACGTGTACAAGTCAAAAACAGGCTACTCGCAGATTTAAAGAAAAACCCAGAAGGTTGGCTACAAAAGCTACAGATACAGAAAATATAAATTCGATAAATAAATAAAAGAATGCAAGGAAAGGAAACCTGGTTCTGCTCATGTAGGATCATCTTCCCCTTATTGCCCTTTCTGAGTATTAGAGGGCTCAGCCTTGTCTTAAAACTTTAAAGGCGCTATTCCTCAACCTCAGGAACTTTAAGACGTGTGTATTTCAACTCCCAGAATTCCCCCAGCCAGCATGGCTGGC